TAATGACTGCATATTACATTCAGTCTCTTCTTGCTGCTCAAACATCAAGGACCAAATGGACGCATTTTGACTAAAACGAGCTGAATCTGTAGAACAGTTGGAGATCTCTTTCGCAATTATCTAAATTTGTATTTTAATAATGGAAAGATTTTTTGCCTAAATGAATGGCAATATCAGTTTGTCAGCCAATCACAGTCCAGAGTGAAAAATCTCAACTATTGGATGGATTGCCAAAAAATTTGGTTCTGACGTCAGAGTCCCCATTTTCACATCTCTTTGCTTTTTATCTACAGCAGCAGTTCTACATCTTGACCGGGTAGCTCTCTCTCTAGGTGTGCATATATATATATATATATATATATATTATATGGGCACGTTAACATGTTACTATTGCATTAACGCCGACAATTATATTAGCGCACGTAAACGCAGTTTTTATTTTATTAGTTTGAAAGTCTGTTGCTCACTGGCTCTGAATACACATCCTGTCAAACCCTCATGGGTCACAGGAAGGGCGGGATGTTGATCAGCCTGCAAATCACCCACCCAAACGAGCAGCGGAGGGAGGCTTCAGCAGACTACGCTGTCATCTATTTTCCATATTTTTCCACCCACGATGTTATGACGGCAGCAGGTGAGCAGCTTGCTTGTTAATGACGCAGCCTATCAAACAACTCAAACAGCCAAAACCAACATCTGCAGCCTGTGTTCAATGTTGCTTTAACATTACCTGGTCTGTGCTTGTAAAATATCGACCACCACTTGTAACGTCATTTCAAGTTTTTAACAGAGTAAAGTCTGTGCGAGTGAACACACGCACAGATTTAATTTTACGCGTAACAAAGTGATTAATTCCGATTAATCGCAAGAAAATCATGCAATTAATCACGTTTAAAAAATGTTAACGTTGCCCAGCTATATATATTTTTAATTTTGTCCAGTACGATTATGATTAAATAGCTTTAAAAAATACTGTCATTCCCAGCAGCCTCAGGTGTACTTTGTTGCTTTTAGCTAATGTTAGCACGCTAACAAGCTAAGCTAACATGCTGAACATATTGCTGCGCATCTGCATGTTAGCATTAGCATTGTGAGCATATTGTAGCATGTTGACGTTGCAGCATCAGAGCAGCTAGTGTGGCTGTAGGCTCTTATTGTGCAGACACACAGAATCCGGCGAGGACGCAGCATGGTTTAAAAATGGCGACCGGTTCAGAAACGTTCTCATATTAGAGCAGTACATTAAAATATGTTTTTTAAAACATTGGAGGTTAGAAATAGGCAATGCTGTAACAGGATCTTAATTCATATTTGATCAGCACTGCCTGCACGGTTTGCACATTTGCATCAAGTTGAGGGTGAGTCGTGTTGCAAATTCAGATACAGCAGTCAGTTAACTCGTATCCATCACGCACCTGCTCTCCATAGAAAAGAAATAGGATCTGTCGACTTGACCTCCATCAAAGGATCCAGAGCGTCTGCACCATTAGTCTTTTTATAACTCATCTGGATCTGCATCAGAAGACACGTGCTGAAGGCGATCTCTGGATGCAATGACATTTTTTATTGCAGCGAGTTCAGTAGTCCACAAAAGCATGAATGTACCTTGCTTCCTCCTTGGCAGAGGAAACTAAGATAAATATCTGATACCAGGATAAAGGAGCCGTGTATAGGCCACACAAGGTTACTTCTCTTGGAGTACAGCACATCCATTCTATCTCTTTTATACCTTTTTTCTTTTACGGTTGTGTCAGGACTTCAAAAATATTTTCAACTGAGGAATGCAAAGACCTTGTGTTTAGATCTATTTTCTGATTCAGCACATTTAACAACCATCAGTCAAAGATGAGTGGAAATTATTTTGCTTCATTAGGTTTTACATGTAATCGCTTTCATTCAGGAGAAAACGTGCAAGATTCACTCTTCTGGTTCCACCAGATGTTGGAACATGGCTGCAGGGATTTGCTGCCATTCAGCCATAACGGCTTCAGTGAGGTCCAGCATTGATGTTTGGGGATCAGGTCTGGTTAACAGTCAGCGTTTGAGGTCAGGGCTCTGTGCAGATCAGTCAAGTTCATCCACTCCAAACTGGGAACAACATTTCTTTATGGATCTGTTGTGGTGAAACAGGAAAGGGCTGAAGCAAACTGCTGTCACAGGACCCTATTATCAGAATGAGAATCAGCTTTATTTGCCAGGTATGTGTACACATACGAGGAATTTGACTCATTGCTCACGATGTGCTTACTTACAACGCAATAATAAAATCACACACAGGCTACAGTATAGAAAACACATATATACGCACTATAAACAAAAACAATATACACAGATTGGGACAATAGTGCAGTGAGTAGAGTGCAAAGGATGCAGGAGTAAAATTAATATTATTATGTACATATCGGAGGTGGATGAGAGATACAGACATGTACAAAATGTCTGAGAGACGGGAGCATCTACAGCCTGTTTCAGACAGAGGCCGAAATGACAGCCTGCATGAAGTGCCAGTATAAGATAGAAATGTTTATTTTATTTTTATTTGAACTTTGAATCATGCAAACCTGCCATAGGGGAGTCACAGAACTACAGCATAGGGCTGGAAATGCAGTATAATAAAAGCCTCCTTTAAGATTCCCCTCACCTACCGACCGTAAAGTGTGAAAAGGGCTTCAGGATGCTGCTGAAGGGCACATTCAGTTCACAAGAACTAATGAGCAGTTAACTGATGAAGATAACTACATAACTGAGTATGCAAAAGCATTCACAAAAGAAATGGGAGAAGCTTCATCATATCAGTGGAGCCTGATCAGCTTTCTACTGCATGAGCAACTTATTAAGCAACACATCCTGCTCCTCTTCGTAGTTTGTAAGTGTACAAAACTACAGTCAATCCTACTGACTAGGACTGTATGTGGATCCAAGCCTGGTACATCTTCTTCCTCTGAGACACAGAGCCACATTGTTGTCCAAAAACTATTAAAAACCCGTCAGTGAGCCTCACTGCTGCACTGTGTGACATGTCATCACCACAAACACACACACTGTAGTTTATGTAGTTTATTTTGACTCTGTCCTACGTACACCTTCCTGATGCTGTAAGTACTCATTAGAGCACCACATGTGGATTAATCCGCAGCTGGAAATAGTCACCAACAAATTCATCATTTCCTCCTTTTGAGTAGCTTTTGCTAAAAGCCAGCAACCAGCTGTTTTTTTGAGGTAAGAGGTATGTCAAATTAACTTAACATAGAGCTGCAGACAGGGTTGGATAAGTCAGAGTATTGTGAATAAAACAGAAACTGATGTATGGACTTCCCATTTTTGTACCTCTCTCCTCCAAACTCACAAGAGGAGTTGAAGCCTGTCTGTCTTCCATTTATAGAAGCATGACATGATGGTTTCTGGTCTAAAATGCTTAATGTCACATCATTTCACTGATGCATAAAAATGCAATGTAAAATTACAGTCAAATATCTGGCTCAACTTCCCCCAGGTCTTTTGGCTCAAATTACCCCATCCATGCCATTTCAACAAAATTTTGTCATCCAGCAGTTTAAGGGTAAAGTCATGCTAACAGTATAGCCTCATATTCCTAAAGCTTAGTGCTTTCACATGCATATGAGTTTTGATCTTAAATGTGCTCATCACTTATTCCATGGGCCTCTCTCCACTACAGGAAGAGTAAAATGGTTAACTCTTCAAAAATGTGCGGTCACATGACCAATTTTGTCTATGGTTGCCGAGAAACAAGAGGTGGCTCAACTTTCACACAGGCTCAAATCACCCCGCTCAGCAATAATTATCCGATTCCAGCTTTGTAAATGTGAATATTTTCTGTTTTGGTTTTTTTTTCCTCCCCTCTGATGGTAAACTGAATATCTTTTGGGTTGTGGACAAAAACAAGACAGTTCAGGACGCCATCTTGGGCTTTGAGAAACACTGATCGACATGTTTCCCCATTTTCTGACATTTTATAGATAGAACAACTAAGCGATTAATCGAGAAAATAATAAACAGATTAATCACATAAACACATTGCTGGTTTTGTTTTGTTTTTTCCCACAAACATATTGTCCTAATTTTTGGATTTGTGTGAGGAATTAGAGCAGAAAGCTGACCGAGATCATCCGAAGTTGTCCGAGTTTATGCTTAGCTGTGATGTAGTGTAGAATCGGTCAATTGGAACCAACCAAACCATGAAAAACAGTCCCAGAAGAGAAGTACACAAGTATGTATATAGGGTACGGCTGAAAATGTACATTAGCGGATGAACATACTGATAATTGTGCATCAGCTGAATGTCACAGATGAGCACACATACAGCCGCAGTATCTTAAAGAATCAGACTGACGTTGACCCGGATGTTGGCTTCTTCCCATATAAAGTGAAAATGGCAGCTTCTTCATCCAGTGTCGGTGCATTGCTTTAATCCTGCTCCTGGGTCCATGCCAGCCAAGTCTGCATCCAGGGAGTGTGGGTGGAATTTAGGAACTACATCATTAGTGCGTGTGAAGTCCCTGTAAACATTTGATTAATTGCTGAGAAGCAATTACAAGCAATTAAAGTCCTATTATGATGGCAATGAAGGACAACGTAAATTAATCTGGCTATCATCACAATAATTAGCCCATCATTTTCCCACCAAGCCTAATGTACAAAAATGGGCTATTTATCGGTTTGTTTGCTTAATCTTTACTGCAATTTGTGGTCATTTTAAAGCAAAGTGGTGCAGACGTTTTGGGGCACATCACACTCGCTGCATGAAAATAATGTACAATTAAACCTTATTAACTTGCGGATCTTCACATGGGAACTGAATGACAAACGTTTTCTCAGTCTTTCCTCTCAGTTCTGGTTCTATCCAGTCGTTTCTTTTGCTCAATCTTTTGTTGAGTTAGAAGCTTGACACAGGAGAAAATGTCTCACACTCGATCCTTTTCTCCCCCCCGTCCCTTTTCTGTCTCCTTTGCTTTTTTTGTTTTTCTTTCTCTCCCCCGTAGCAACAACCAAACTACTGGAGCTTCAAGGTCAGTGCCAATATTGTGTTTGTGTTTCAGCGTAAATCTGTCCCTCTGTGTGGATTCGTCTCTAATAGGATAACTTTCCATTGTGTCTTTGCATGCCTGCTTGCCTTCTCGCCATTGCGTTCAGTGTTGGTCACATGTTGGCACACACTTTTGTGTTCAACTCTTGTTCTGCTTGCTGTGGCACTTGTGTCTCTGCAAGAGTTCTTGACTGGAAGTGGAGATTGATTGTCTAATAAGTGCTGTGTTTAAATGTCTGCATGTTAGATTTCTGTCCAACTGAGCACTGTTACTTATAACTTGGTACCACCACTGGTCTAATGATTGTAGCTAGTCATGCTATGGTCAAGCATAATGGGCCAATTTCTTGCAAGAGGAGGCAAAATTATCCAGCTGCTGTGTGAAGTATGTGTGGCCTAGTTTAGCTGAAAAAGATTTCTGCTCCTCCTTTCAAAGTTTTATCTATAAAAGCACCATATAGAGCCCGTCATGACCCTGTGATGTTCACAGACATTCAAATGGGTCTGGTGTTGTGCTCATGGACTGCTTTTTTGTCTGTTGTAAACACAAAAACAGCAAGCCAATTGGAGCTTTTAAGGCGGGGTTTAGAATAGAAACGGCTTCTTCCTGTGCTATGGCCAGACAAAAATGACCACAAACCTGGCAGCGAGCACGGATGAGATTCGATGCAGCTTTTGGATGTTGATTCACAGAATCTCTTAAATCTGTATATTTATATCTGTATATTTATAAGTTAACTGCTACTATCATCACCAACGCAGCCTCTGTGTCACTTAGGGCTGAAGTATTTTAACTTATATTGCGATATTCTCATTGAAAAACATATTAAAGGTTCAGTGTGTAATATTTCTGAGGATTTATTGACAGAAATGCAATATATGTTTTCAGTGATGTATAAAGACCTTACATAATGAACCTTGAGCCATTTATATCTCCATAACCGCGGGTCCCCCCCTACCATGTTATGCCGCCATGTTACAGAGCGCGTTTCGTCACTACGTTCTTCCTCTTCTTCTGGTAGAATTCAGGCAGTGCAGACACTCATCACTACGTTGAATACGTACGTTAGAAGAAGTAGTAATATACAGCAGGGGTCGGCAAATAAGTTTTGCATTGGAGCAATTTGCAAGTCGCAACAACATCTGGTTTAACCTGACAATGAAGTAGATCTAATTCCTTCAAGAAACCTCACATCTTGACTGGCCACTCTCTGCTGTCTCAGAAGAGACACCTTTTGTCCTGTGTTAGCCACCATAGCTTTCCTACGCTCTTTGAAAGGGTGGGGGGCAGTGGTAAACTGGAAAGTTGGTTGATTCACAACCCTCACCACTAGATGCCACTATATCTTACACGCTGAACCTTTTAAAATTAATTATCGTGTGATTTTTGTGATGATCTGTACCAAAGAAAGATGTTTCCTTAAGTCTCTAGAATATGATGTGTGTAGGCCAGGAAATCTCTGCAGCTCGACAATATTTAATTTAAAATGGTATTTGGACACATATCGCCTTAAACAAAAATTGCCCTTCCTGCGATTTAAAAATAGGAGAAGACCATTTTGCGATTTCAATAGAATTTCGATTAATTGTTAAGCCCTAGGGTCACTACTGATTGATTATGTCATCCCAAATTGAAATTGGTTAACATAAACATGATGTCAGACTGACTTTCAGACCCAGTCTGGCAGGTTTTTGGCTGGTCGGTTGGTTGGTCTTTGCATCAGGCCATCACTTTGGTCCAGACTGAAATATCTCACCATGTATTGGAAGCATTACCATGAAATGTTGATCCCCAGAGCCATTCAATTGATATTTACTACCAGCTACACTCACCTAAAGGATTATTAGGAACACCTGTTCAATTTCTCATTAATGCAATTATCTAATCAACCAATCACATGGCAGTTGCTTCAATGCATTTAGGGGTGTGGTCCTGGTCAAATTGAACATGACAATGAGTTCACTGTACTAAAATGGCCCTCACAGTCACCAGATCTCAACCCAATAGAGCATCTTTGGGATGTGGTGGAACGGGAGCTTCGTGCCCTGGATGTGCATCCCACAAATCTCCATCGACTGCAAGATGCTATCCATCAATATGGGCCAACATTTCTAAAGAATGCTTTCAGCACCTTGTTGAATCAATGCCATGTAGAATTAAGGCAGTTCTGAAGGCGAAAGGGGGTCAAACACAGTATTAGTCTGGTGTTCCTAATAATCCTTTAGGTGAGTGTATATACAGCATGCTAGCGTCGAAAATCAAGGTGTTTTCTAACATTAGCTTAGCTCTCCTGATTAGCTAGGCTCCTTACATGCTTGCTAATAACTTTTTTTTAAGCTGAGTCTCCGACATTGACAGCGTTTTGTTGGACAGATTTGTGCAGCTGCGCTACGGCGCTCTGCAATCAAATACGATTTTTAAATAGGCCTAGTAAAAAAATCAAAAATCAATCTGTGGCGGTCAGCGTTGATATTGTGGTGGACTGCCACAAATAAATGAACGTAAGGGAAACACTGGATGAAAATAATACTATTGTTGGGTCTAGGGCTCCTCCCCCATAAGATTTTGAGCATTAAACCCTTCATTTTGTGCATTCTGGAGACATTTTCTACACCAATTTATGGTGGAAATGTCTATTTATATAAAGGGGAACACACAATTCAGGCAGCAGGTGACAATTTAGAAAAATATAAAAATTGTAATTGAATATAAGTCAGTAATCAGTAAATTTTGTTTACTTTGTAGACTATGCAGATCTGTGTGTTTTTCTAAATTTGCATTGCATGTTTTCTTATTGTGCCAAAATCAACCTTTCTCATAACACTTATTTGTCATTTAACATTTCTTGTTGCAAGCTATTCTTCATAACATTTTTAACAAATGCTTTCAAAAAGGTATGGGGACATGTCCCAGGCGTCCCCAGTGTAAATTACACTATGCAGGTGGGGAGAATAGGCTGATTTTCTAACGTTTAGTGTTAATAACCATCTAACTCAGCCAGTTAGGAGCTACATTAAGCCTTAGATGTTGAATGAATCTGGTCCCTGGAGCAGAGCTGGCAATTTTCAATGCACATTTAAGTATAAATAATGGAAAGCTGAGGCTCAGTAGCAGCAATAACAATGAACTTAGGCCTATGTGCATCACCAACACTCACTCATTACATAATATTATTAACAGTAAGGACACAAAAAGTGGTCCACATCATCTGAAGCACACTTACTTTCCAAAAACAGTGTCAAACTTATTATGTATGTTACTGGATCAGCTTGAATGCATGAGCAAGCATCAAGGAACTGCTACTTCTACACACACACCCCACATTTTAACGTTAGTTAACTAGTTCTAGATGCATTTCACTATACCAACATTGCTGTTACAGTTCTGTTAATGATAACGTATATGCTACTTTCACTCACCAGGTAACGTTACGATAGCATCAGCCTCATCTGGCTCGTTTCCTGTATTTTCAGTAACAATAACGTTCTTGTCCTCTGCTGCAGCTGCGGTGTCACCCGGAGTGGCAGGAGATTCAGCTACAGGCTTACCAAAACACTAAAAGACGTGTAGCTTGAGTCAGAAGCCCCAAACGGCAGTTCAGCGCTTCGCAACACAGACGGGATGAATTTATGAATGAACGTGTGAAAGTTCTGTCACAAAACGATGTTGTTACGTATCATCTCACTATTTTAAGTGGGTATATGGAAATCTTTGACCGTTCCTTGTGGGCATACGCCGTATACCTGTGTATCATGTAGACCAGGGGTCGGCAAATAAGTCTGGCATCTGGCCAAATTTTTCCACGCCGTTATATGGCGGGCCAGAACCGTATGAAATCGTGCACGTTTAGCTCTGTCGGTACTGTGGGGGACTCCCGATGGATTGATATTGAGATCAATTCAATCTTATTGCGGATATTTATTTCTCCCTTGTTAAACAAATTGAATAAAAGGACATTTTTGCTGCAGTGTGTGTGCGTTCATAAACGTATGGACGCTTATTTTCATTTCCCTGCTATCAAAACAATCTGGCTGCAGGCCGGATATTATTGCTGGCGGGCCGATTCTGGCCCGCGGGCCGCCTATTGCCGACCGCTGATGTAGACTATAACACTTGTCATCGGTTTCCTTTAGCGCCAACGTGGTTTTGAGTGAAATATCTCAACAGCTGTTGCATGGATTGCCATGAAATCGCCCACAGAATGAGTGAACCCTGACATTTCATCTCATCATCGATTCATGCCCCCAAATGCTGCATGTCCTCCTTTTTTATAAAAATTCAAGAACATCATGGGTGTAAAGTTACACCTAATGTGCATCACTTACAAGTTTGACTCCTCTCGGCCCTCGGGGCAGTTACACCTGGGTTATTACTTGATTAGCTGAAGGAGAGCTTCAGAGCCGTCCCAAGTGCAGCAATGGAGAGACAGCTGGGAAAGTGCTGTGTGTGTCAGTGGTGAAAGATTATTCATGCCCTCTTATATCTTACGGTGATATTAATGTAATCTGTAGTGTATAACACCCTTTACTTTACCTAGTGACAGGAAATATGAGAGATGGGATTAGTTGGCATGCAGCAAAATTCAAGAGCCAAACGTAAGCCCACGCTGTTACAAACACATGGTTTGCCTCCCGGAGTTTTGCACCACTCGGTTGCCTCTGACAGTGTGCCCACAGTGAATACTACCATCAAAATGAAACCTCATTTACAGTCGGAGGCAGAGATTTTACCAAGCACTGGCAAGGTTGGGATGTAAATAGTGTGAAATGTGAAATGCACAAGTTAATCTGATTGAGTCTAAAGTCTAATCTAATGTAATGGAGCCATTAGTGGACATCAGTCGCTGCCAGCTTCACACTACCTCTCGTATTAGTTTGTAGCTGCTGCTGTAGCACTACCAACTGGTTTCAAGTTTCCAAACCGAGGAACTTGACTCGCGTTATGTGAAAATAACAATTAAAAGAGAAACTGAGCACACCCGC